GGGTGCATGCGCTCACCAAAAAGACAGAGAGAGACAGAGAGACAGAAAGTGAGAAATCACCCCGCAGGGAGAATGGCCATGGCACAATCCCTTCTCCTCCATTCTCCTCTTGGGATCTTGGGCACGCACACACACATGCCCAGCGTGAGTTTAAGCCACTGCGTCTGGGACTTGAACTGCAGTCCACTACATGGGAGTCCAGCAACATAGCCATTATGCCAACTGCTGGTCTTGAGAATTTGGATTTCTAACCAGCTTCTGGGTAATGCTGATGCAGCTGGTCTGAGGACCAAACTGTGTGTGGCACTGGTGTAGACCAGGGTATCTTTACTGTGAGTACAGGTAAGGGGTTCAGTGCTTGAACATTATAATCATTAGCTTTCTGTAACCCATATCACACTTTTGTGCTCCTGTCTCTAACTCTGCCTTGTTCCATTTTAGGCCATAGTAAGTCTTTCAAAAACACAAGTCTGATCATGTTACTCTTCTGCTTAAAAATGTTAGTGGCTTCCTTTTCCTTATGTGGTGCTTGAATCCTTTCATAGCCCTTCTCACTTCTTTAATCTCCTACATTTGTGCATAAAGGACAACTTGCAGTTCCCTGAAGGAGCCACATTGTCTCTTACCTACATCTGGAATGCCAGCCTCCTTGGGTCCACCTCTTTTCACTTGAGTGTATTCTACTTTCCCTTTGGCAATGTCCCTTGAGGGCCCCTATGAAGCACTTTTGTACAAGATAGGCACTGCCTATAACATGGCTTAGCCCTCCTATAAATTGGAAGCTTCTTGAAGGTAGGTACAGAGTGTTGGCACTTAGTGCATGAATAAATAATTTAATAAACTATAATTGAACTTGTGTTGTGTTAGTTCAGACCTAGCAAGAATTAACCATTACATCTGCTCTTCCTGGGGCAAAGGATTCTATGCTTTCTTAGGATCTGAGCTTCCATGGGCAAAACTCCCTCACAAATAGCATGAGAAAATGACAACATGCATTAATAACCCAGTAGAAGCTTATCTGTTTTAGAATTTTTCCATCTGGGCATTACAAACCACAAAAGCAACCGTTTGCCTCCATCAAGAACATATTTTTTAACTGCACACTTTCCCAGAAGGACACTCCTCCCTCCATTGCATTTTGATCTATCCCGATTTAATTTAAAGTTTGAAGATGGGGTCTGACCTTATCTATCAGTGACTGAGCCGTTGTCTCATGGAAATGCAGTTTGAAACTCATTAATAGGGTAGCCTGTATATTATAACTTAGAAGCTCTGGGTTATCACTGATGCTTGCAATTGCTATGGAAACCAGGTTCATATGCACCGTTCAAATACTCTGCTTTAAAACAGGAGGGAAAATAAAGATGAAGAAGAAAAAGAAAGCTCCTTGAAAGAATACGATGTTTAGTACCCAGCATGCATAGCCAGGTTCAGTGAAGCAAAAATTCTCTTCCTTCACAATGATAAAAACAATTCTTCATATATTTTTTAGGAGCTAATAATATATAACCTTGTATTACAGTACTGTGTTTATACTGATGGGGAAGAACACCAAAGGCATCCTTTCCCCATGCTCACACACAGACACACAGACACAAACCCACAATTTTCAGTTTTCTGCAGACTTTCTGCAGTCTGCATTCTTTTATTCTCCAAAGGCCTCTGCATATGCAGCTTTGGCTGCTAAAGCCTAACCAATGTGGACAGTGGCTGAAAGCTCAGCATCTTCTCCCCCCTCTTGAATGTGTATTGAATGTTGCATCCAGGACAGAATTTCCAATTATAAAGCATAAGCACTAACTTACATTTCTTTTAAAAAATGCTTTGTACTCCTTCCTAAAGTTTGGTTTTGGGGGCTCCATCCTCCTCTTTCTCCTTGCCCACATTTCTCCCTAACAGCCAAAGTAAAGTATTGTGTTAGGAAAACAACAGTTTGAACATCACCTTGTGGAAAAGCATTCTCCAACGTTGAAATTTGCCCGCCCCTCAGCGATGTAGAACCTTGTGTTATTCCCTCCAGTGTCCTCATTGCTCTGTTTACTTCCTCATGTGTGAATCATCAATGATTTTTCCCTTGTTTTGCCTGCATCCCAGCCCTCCCCGAACTCTAAACAAGTGAGAGCAGGTATCTCCTCTTCTGAGCGAGAGTAGGCTATGGGAGCTGGGCTCCTTCTGTCTTTACCTTCAGACTTTGGTGCAATTTTAACCTTATAATTCATTTTTATAATGGCTATTTTAAATGAGAATCATTCCCTTGTAAACACTGAAAACTAAAACAAAATTGCAAAGATACCAGGCTAAGGAAATTCAGTAACATATACTATATTCTTTCTCAATTAAACAGGCAAATCACCTAGAAACAAGTGTTTTTCAGCCTGAATATTTATCAGTGTATAGTACCAATTGTGATTTGACTTTTTTAACAAAACTTTTCCACAAAAGCCAGTACATCTATAAATTAGACCCCTTCTTTAAACCTTGAACCCGTTAAAAACCTATAGAATTGATATTGTACATTCATCAACAGTTTTATAAAAATAATGTGGTTTTAGACTGTCAGGATCTGTATGTGTGTGAACTACAAAGCACAAGAGCATCAAGCAGACATTTTCTACTTAACCTATTATTCCTGAAGATTACCATTTAATACCTGCAGTATAATTTAACTAATAAGTCAACACTCGAGACATGAATTGTAGTGAACAATAAGCAGTTTATTTTAGTAACGGGGTTTGTGTCAACTGCAGCATTGAGCAAACGTTTTCTAAGCATCGCATGACTGGGTTTGTTGTTCATCGCCGGTGGGAGCTTCATCTGAATACCAGGCTAAGGAAATTCAGTAACATATACTATATTCTTTCTCAATTAAACAGGCAAATCACCTAGAAACAAGTGTTTTTCAGCCTGAATATTTATCAGTGTATAGTACCAATTGTGATTTGACTTTTTTAACAAAACTTTTCCACAAAAGCCAGTACATCTATAAATTAGACCCCTTCTTTAAACCTTGAACCCGTTAAAAACCTATAGAATTGATATTGTACATTCATCAACAGTTTTATAAAAATAATGTGGTTTTAGACTGTCAGGATCTGTATGTGTGTGAACTACAAAGCACAAGAGCATCAAGCAGACATTTTCTACTTAACCTATTATTCCTGAAGATTACCATTTAATACCTGCAGTATAATTTAACTAATAAGTCAACACTCGAGACATGAATTGTAGTGAACAATAAGCAGTTTATTTTAGTAACGGGGTTTGTGTCAACTGCAGCATTGAGCAAACGTTTTCTAAGCATCGCATGACTGGGTTTGTTGTTCATCGCCGGTGGGAGCTTCATCTGAATCTTCCATTGCAGTCTTTTCTTCATTCATATCCTGTAGACATGTTTCATTGTAGTCATCCTCCTCCTCCTCTTCACTTTGCAGGTCTTGTGAAATTAATTGCCTGGCATATTTAATGTTCATTCCTTCATTATGATGAAGCTTCCTCTTCATCTCGAACAGACGCTGCCTTTCTACTTTGTCAAGGAGGCTTTGGCTGGAATGAGCCTTGAGGCTCTCTTGCTCTTCCCCTTCACAGTTGGACTCTGATGTATCAACGGTCATGAGTTTCTTGGTCAAGATGTCCACGGTGGTATCGACATCACTCACTGAATCTTCCCCGTCATCTTGCACAGTGATGCAGGGGGTATTGGTCTCATTTACCTTAACTAAATCATAGTCTCTGTAGGCTGGACGATGAGTGGCCAGGATGTTCGATTCGTCCCACTTCTGGGACTTTTTTCTTTGAACCTCCTGGGTAGCCCCTCCAGACTCCTGGGTGGGGTCCTCCACGGAGGAAGCTGTGGAACTCTTCTTCTTCAGGATCCCCTTGAGGGGTCGCTGCGAGGTAGCAGAGGCCGCCATGCGTGGGGAGCCAAGGGCCCTGGGAGGGGTAGGCCGCTGAGCAGCCGCCCTGCCAACCTTCAGGCTCCAGTCGGAAGCTGCTGCGCAGTCTGTCTGGGCAACGGTTACCAAAGCGCTGAGTAGCAGCGTCACAAAGAGCGTTGCGTGCGACGCCACAATGGTTACCACTGTTACCACCACCATTACTGCCTCACAGGCCAGGCTGAAGCTCTTTTTTTTTTTTTTTTT